TAAGTTTAGGGTAACTGACTGAGTTGCCTCTCCTGCTCTTAGTTCATATTTAAATAAGTGGACAGATGCCTTGTCTCATGTCACCATCATATTGACCATGTGTGGTGATATATTGTGTCCCCCAATATATTGTGCACCCTAATAAAGCTTATCTGAGAGATCAGAGGAACAGGACAAGCCACAGACAACCTCACCTCACCAACTCCTCAGCTCCAAAAATGATCTACTTCCTGTATACCCACGCCTACATGCCTTTCTATTCTGCCTTCTCACTTCCTCTCTCTGCCCAGCTACATCACTTCCTCTTTCTGCCCAGCTCTGTCACTTCCTGTCTGTCTGTCTGTCCAGACCTCCAGACCTTTATGGTTAACTACTGTTGGAATTTAAGGAGTGTGTCACCATGCCTGACTCTGTTTCCAGTGTGGCCTTGAACTCACAGAAATCTGGATGGATCTCTGCCTCCTGAATGCTAGGATTAAAGGCGTGTGTGCTACCATTTCCTGAATTCTATGTTTAATATAGTGGCTGGCTTTTTCCTCTGATCCTCAGATAAGCTTTATTGGGGTGCACAATATATTGGTGGGCACAATGTATCACCACAACCATGTAAATAGGTTAAGATAATTACCCCAAGTTACAGATGATGATATTTACATATAATTAAGCACATGGGTCTCCTGATCAGACTCTCTGGCTTCAAATTTGAGCTTCTACAAGTAGCTGACTTTGTCTGCTCTTTCTAGTCCACAGTGTCCATTATGTCCTCTTGAAGAGACACAATGAAAACATGAGGCAGTGACCTGGCACATAATAAGTACTCAGAGAACATTAGTTACTGATGTTATCCAGGATACCACAGGGAGATGAGATCTCCAAAGCCCACGTTTTAATCACAGACACCCTTTTGCCTTCCTCAGTTTACAAATTTTGTGAAACTACCTTTGACAGATGCTTCATTCTCCTTTTGTCTGTTGGCATCTGTGCAGCAATTGGCATATAAGTGAGATGACCGACGGCTCTTGTCCCTGACTACGGTACGAGGAGGCAGGAGAAGGTGGCCTGCCCTTCTCCTTGGCTCTGATTCACTCCTTATTCTAGATTCCCTTTGCAGTTAGTTATGAGAGGCATAATGGAGAATAGTCACAGAAAAAAAAAAGAAAGCCTCCACCAAGCAGTGGGCGCCAACAGCATCCCTGTCCCCCTGTCCATCAGCAGAGGATGGACAGAGTAAGCTCCGAAGGCATATGGTCTCTGCCAGTTCTCTTCCCTCCAAATTGTGTTACCTTCCTAGGTCATCATGCCTCCCAGAGCCTCACTTCCTCCATCTGCAAAATGGGGATGATGTTGACGCATACCTCAAAGAAATTAGGGGGAAAATAACTATGCAAAGTATGTGGTGGTGCCTGACATGGAATGGTATCCCATTTCCTTCTATATACGAGTCATTTCAAATTGATAAACTCCTATCCACCCTCAGTGCCCAGCTCAAATATCCTCTTATCATAAAGCCTGTTCAGACATCAAGATGGAAGTGTCTGATGCCTCCAGGACACATTATGTTTGCTCCCACCACTACTGTAAAGGGGACTCAGGACAGTCACCAACTGCTTGAATGTCAAGCATACCCCATTAGAAGGCAGCTTGGTGCTGAGAGCGATTAGCTATTATGTTGTAGTGGTCCTGAAGGTACCAGGGGAGGGAGGGGATCATTGGCAGACTGGAGATGAGATGAGGAGGTAAAATAACCCATTTACCAATTTGTGTGTCATCATTTGACTGTTTCAGTAAGCATAGCCTTTCGGTACGGACTGGTGCCCACAGCCGCGATCCTGCTCTGATCACGCTGACTGCTGCCTCCTCCAGACTCTCAGGGATCAGGCAAGAGATCCTCTGGTCATCTTCAACCAACCAGGATCCAGTTCAGAGTCAAGGCCTTCATTTGCATAGTCATATAGGCAAGGCACCTCTTGTGATGTCATGCGCTCCCACTTGATGTTTCCACAAGGGCTCTGTGGATGGGACAGTGGGACCTGGGGCACAGGAGGCCCCCGATACATCCCTAACATCTGTGCCCTGTCCTAGAGTTCCATCTCAAACCCCACCTCCAATCTTCAGCTTTCCTTTTCATTGGCTAAATCCTGCTCATATTTAGTTTTCTGGGTCTTCATTACATTCTCTACCTGCCCTAACCCTCATGCCCTTTCCTGTCAGCCTTCCCCCTTTGCAGGCAAAGACTCTCTTCTCTGTTCATCTCCAGAGCCAAATCCAAGTCCAACCCTTTAATAGATGCTCAGTAGGTGTGAATAGACCTGAAGGAATGATTGAGAAGTGTGATTCAGTGCAAATGCCTCTGCTGTTCTGTCTAGTGAAGAAAAGTCTTGAGGGCTAGAACTCTTTGGAAGTCTGTGGTGCACCTGGGATCTTGTCTTATTTCTACCTTTGTGATGGAGAAGATGAAAACTAGCCAAGAATGGAGGGAACATGGAATCAGATTTTGGAGTGTACTAATACACCCAGGAGCCACAAAACCCCAGAACCTCAACCAAGATGAGTGTAGCCACATTGGACGCAGCCACTATTTATGATGGAAAGAGAATTCTCCAGAAAGCAGGACCCTGACTCTTGTCCCTGTTTTACCCATTGACTTACCCACACGGGGAACCACACTTTAGTTATTACTGTGACCTCTGCTATGTCCTCTACCTCCTCTGCTGTTGTACCTATGACACTGCCAGCACCAGCAACAAGCATCACACAGCGTTTGCCACATACAACTGCATTCTAAAATGTTTACTCACAGCTAGTCATGGTAACCCCAGGACGGTCTTATGAACTAGGTCTCACTAGTTGCCTTGTTTTTCAAAATTCGAGGAAACAGAGACACAGAGAGGTGATGTGATGAGTCCAAAGTTCCATAGAAGGGATCTAGAATGTTATTGGAGTTTTGTCCCTGGACCAAGCATTGGGCTTAATAATTAACTTTTGAAGAAGACATATGTATGCATGCACGTATTGTATATATGCATGTATGATGTATGTATGTGTGACTGTATGTATGCATGTATACATGCATATATAAATGTATGTGAACTCTGAGCTTATAAAGGATTTGGTTGCACAATCATATTCCCTTGCTTTTTTTTTTAAACAACCTCACCTTGCCAAAAGCCTTCATTATTCTCTTACATATCTATACTTTTGTTCTTAATAACCAAGGCAGTGGGAAAGAGGTGAGCTCTTAAGGCCTCTTCCTTGCATATAAAGATAAGGCCTGGCTTTTGGTTCTTCTGATAGGTGTGGGCCAGGAGGCTCCTTGGGACATGGAGCATTACACCTCACTGCCACCAAGAGCCTGTGTTCTGGGAAAGAAACTGTCAAGAACCAGTATGCTAACATTACTGGTAAGTGAGGGAAGGACAGACGTAGTTCTCAGCAGCACCTTCACACATGTGTGAGCTTCTTAGGAAACCGCTCCAGGCAGGTGAGGGAGTATAAGTCAGGTGTTACCATTGGCCCATTGTAGCTAAGGTCAGTTGAAGCTTCTAGGTAAGCTACCACAGGCACTAGTACATGAGAGACTGGGCAGCCATAGCTAACTCTGGAACATTCTCCTGCCTCTTACTGCACATCATTCAGATTTACTTATAGTTTTTCTGCAAATGAAATAATCACACCCATTTCCCAGCTGAGGAAGCCGAGGCTTGTGGGGGCAGATGGGTGAGTTGATTAGTCAAGACTCCAACCCCGGCCTCTGTATCTTTGTAGCACAGGAGATTTAGGGAATTAGGGAATGAGAGGGTTCAGGCAGGGGCTTGATACCTGCACATTCTCATGGTCATCCTGAGAAGGAGGTACTTAGGAAGAGCACAGTCAGACATACGTGAGATTGAGTAAAATTAGACCCTGGTGACACAAGGTACCTTGATGTGGAGAAGAGTTTTCCACAACATACTGGAAATACCAATTATGTCAACCAGGCCACGGTGCTGCTTATTGTCACCTCCCCCATTGACCTTCCCACAGGACCCCTGAACTCCTCCTTGTTTCTACCTCACCCTCACTAAGGGGGATGCCTTTTTGGATGTTCAAGTTCTCGTGTAGCTGCTGGCTACAATCTTGCGGCATGTCAAGGCTGACTCTCATCCTGTTTATCCTTTTGCGTTTATCCCCCTCAGAGTCCACAAAAGGCCTCTACATAATTCCTCTTACTGAATGATTCCAACCACCTCAAATGGAATCAGTGCCTCATGTTACCTAGTGAGAAAACTGAGGTGGTATAATTGGCCCAGCTAGAGAGACATGAATCCAGGCCTTAAATTCAGATCCCTCCCACACCAAAGTGTTCGAGGTCACACACCAATTACTTTTTGTCGATCCCCCGGAAGGGTTTTTCTGCTTTTCCTCATTGCTGCGGTACTAAGTTGGATTCACCATTGTCTCACTCTGTGACTTTGCCCCAGAGCCTCTGAATTTTGACGTTTCTGCCCCATGTGCGGGAGGGATGAGTGACAGGAACTCAGCCCTCAACACCTGAGACTTTGTGTGCAAACACGTAAGAAGACACAGGTCAAGCTCAAATTAACAGGAGGAATAAGATCCCAGCTGTCAGCCAGTGCCGCCAGCCAGCTGGTATAAAAGATCCAGACTTAATATAAGAGTGCCTTTCCCATGTCAAAGGCCCCTTTCTTCTGCCCGCCCCTAAGACACCTCTCACACATGTCATCTGGAGGCCAGTATCTGTGTTTCAACCCTCCCCCCACCCCCAGAAATACAAGCCTAGGTATTTTAGTTTTTCTTCCTCTGTCTCCCAAGTTCCCAAGCAGAGTGCTGTCAAAGGCTGGTGAATGACCATTTGATTAACCAATAATGAGATTTGGAGCAAGTGGGAAATTTTTATCCAACATTGAATTAAAAGGTAGTGTACACTGCCCTGCACTTGGACCTCCACCCCCCACAAGAGTCATGGCAAGGCTGGCAGAGGGGATGTGAGGAATACTTACTACACCCCTGGCAGACAGGAAGCCAAGCCTCTGGAGGGGCTGGCTGGGCAGGTGGCTGGACCGGGCCTCTGGGCTGACCTTGCAGTGGTTCTTGGAGCAGTGGCGGGAGTGTGTTCGGCGGGATTTCCGCCCTTCCTCAGGAGACCGACCTCGGTGCCTGGAGAGCAAGAAAGAGATACCTGAAGGTCTTCAGAAGAGAGCCTGGTGGAGAGGCAGCTGGGCCACCAGCATGTCATCTGAGAATGACAGAGTATGATTGTGCGTGTTTGTATGATTTTGTCCCTGGGTATGTCTGTGTACATAAGAATGCTGGATTGTGTATATGCACATTCCACCCACCCTTCATTACTCACCCACTCATCTACCCATTCACCCATATGCCCACCCACCCACTCACCCACCAACCATTCATCCATTTATCCACCAGTCCACCTACCTACCCATCATCCATCCATCATCTCATCCATATTCATCCAACCATCCATCATCTATTCTTCTATCTACTCATCAATCCATTTGCTTACTCCTCCATCCACTTACCCAACACTAACCCATCCATTATCCATCTCTCCATCTACCCATCCAATGATTCATCCATATACCCACCGTCCATCTATCCATCATCTATCATTTATCTATTTATCTATCCATCCATCTATCCCTCTCCTGTTTATTCAGTCATTCTTTATTTGTTCATTTATCAAATATTTATGGGTGTAGCCATGATGACAAAAGAAGTCCATTATTTGATTTGGTTTAATATCCCTCATGTGCTGTGATTGTCTCATGATACTGTATGTTTGGCCGGGCTTATCTATGTTCCCATGCATACCCATGTGTCTTTGTGTATGTGACTTTACCATTTGTGAGATGGAGTCATTCTATTGAGTATCACCCACAGGGGAAATATGTCTGATAAAAATGACAGAGACAATTTGGGTAAGCAAGACTTATCTTGTCTGCTGTAAAAACCAGAGGAGAGTCTGACCCCTTAGAATATCCACATGTGAGTTATAGTTGTAAACACAAATAACACCATTATGAATTTGCAGTCACCTGGAAATCCCTCACACTCCTCCCTGAATCCTGAAGACGTAGATAGGGCGGGTGTTACTTTCCCATTTTACAGATGGGAGAGCTGAGGTTCAGAGATGTTTAGGCTCTTGCCTGAGGTCACATAGCTGAAAAGTGGGCCAAACCAAGGCAGGATGTTTCACCTTTAAGAACCATCTTCTCTGAACTTTTCAGACAGCACTGGGGGCAAGTGGCAGGTATTATGAGGAGGTTCACAAAGTGACAGAGGCATTGCTCTGGGCGGAATATTGTCAGAAGGCAGGGTGAGGCACTCAGACAGCCTTGAATGTGAGCAGACTAGGTTGGGGCTAAGTCTGTGATCATGGAGGAAGCAGCCTCCACTCACGCTAGCCGGAGTGAATGCACCTGGATGATTGTATGAGGAGGACAAGTTCTCATCCTGTTTGGGCTCTGCCCTGCACATGGACAGGAAGGCTCTTGTGTGTCTTGGTCAATCAGAGCGCTGTGTGGCTTCACCTGGTGGTCCCATTTGCAGCTGGAGTCCAGCAGACACACAGAGGTTGGCTTGGGAGGGGACATGTCAGCTGCAGAGTTTCTCACACCTGCTCTGTGTTCAGATTCCCTGGGGAATTTTGCTTGTGTGTGTGTGTGTGTGTGTGTGTGTGTGTGTGTGTGTGTGCGCTCTCTCTCTCTCTCTCTCTCTCTCTCTCTCTCTCTCTCTCTCTCTCTCTCTCTCTCTCTCTGCCTAGCTGCGGTCAGTGACTATAGGGTGGGATGCAGACACTCAGAATTTTTTTTGAAAACAGTTCTGAGGTGACCATCAAGTGCAGACAATATAGAAAATCATCACACTCACAATATCATGGGGGTCACTGAGAGAAAGGGTTTGAAGTCAGCCCAGAGCCTGGTACAAAGATAAACATTTCTCCCCCTCCCCTCCTCCTCTTCCTCCTCCTCTTCCACCTCACTGTCTCCTCTTCTCCCTCCTCTTTCCACTCTGCTTCCTTCTCTTCCAGCCACCTCGTTTCCATTGAAATAAGGTAAGGCCCTGCCACGTTCCCATCCCCAGGTATTATGAATAAACACTTGAAAAAAGAGAAGACCCCGACCCCAGAGGCTCGCTTTGGCCCTCCGCCCACACATCAACAATTCCAAATGTTCTCATCCGCAAAACCTTCTTTCTCTCCTCATCTACAAGAGCACTCCACTCCCATCATTTTCTGATTAGGATGGCCGATGCATCCGCAAAGAGACCTCAGAGTCGGGAGAAAACGGACTCAGAAGGGCCTCAGAATCTGGTACTTGGTGCTGTGTGTCCTTTCATAGGTGGCTCAGTTTCTCTGTTCTGAGACTGGGAAGTCTAGAGCCAGACTTCCTGGTTTTAATGCTAGCTGTATCCCTCAGTTGCTAAGCCTCAAGTTCCTTAAAGCCTCAGTTTCCTCATCTTCACAATGGGACAATAGGAATGACCTCAAGGGACTGTGGAGAGGGTCGTGGGAGCTGGCACCCCAAAGGCACTTAGCAAGCCTGTGTTCCAGGGTGGTGACTACTGTGCCCCTTCTGCCTGCAGGTGCTGAACAGCAAGCCGGGGCAACTCTGGCCTGGAGAGCGAGAGAGTCCCTTAGTGTGGGACACAGAACTCGGGTCAAGCCGGGTGGGTGAGGAGGGGCAGCAGGGCCAGAGGGGTTACCTGCTCTCGCAGCTGGAGGAGCGCAGTTCCGAGCTCTGAGACCTCGAGGGGCAGCGGTGGTGTCTATGGCGGTGAGACTTCCGGCTTCGAGATCTTCAGAAAAGGGGGGAGATGGAGGGGGGAAGAAGAAGAAGAAGAAGAAGAAGAAGAAGAAGAAGAAGAAGAAGAAGAAGAAGAAGAAGAAGAAGAAGAAGAAGAAGAAGAAGAAGAAGAGAGAAGAG